TGCTACTAATCAATTAGTAGCATTTATTTTAAAAATGCTACTAAATTTAAGGGCATTTGTCTAAAAAAAGTAGTTAAATTCTCTTACACTAGTTGACGCTCGTAGTGGCGTTTTTATCAAATTAGTGAAATGCCATCAAAAGTGCAAATAAATGCCGCTAAAATCCTATTTTCTTGTAATGAAGTTTTTTATATTTGTCCTTCAAGCCGAACCATTTTTTGGCTAAAACATTGCCATACTTGTGATATTTTTATATTTGATCTCTTATAAAAGGTCTTGATTATTTATCATTCACGTTGTATACATGTATTTTATTGTTAATGTTTATATGATGAAGTCTTCAAAATATAAATAAAAATTTGCAAAAGATTGCAATTATAAAATCATCATTCTTTAAAAGCTATATATTTCTCAATAGTTCCTAGTCGATGCTTTATCAATAAGAGGACATTAATAAAAGCTATTGAAACTAGCACATGGTTATGCTATTGGTTATAAAGCCAGCAACAGATCTCATAGGTAAAAGTTTGGATAAACTTAAGCTAACATGTAGGTACTTGTTATAAGAACAAGTTCACTTAACATGACTTAATATGAGAATGCTATATGGTAGTTCGCATAGTGTCTATAACAACATTCTCATGTGATGGTTGTATAAGTGATCTTTTAACTTGAGATTACTTATGATCTTATATGATGAATGTTATACTTTGACTTTACTTATGGTTCTAACCAAGAATGATCCAATCAAGTATTGTTACGTATAACATGCGGCATATTAAGATGCATTAAGTAATTAAGATAAGATTAATCACCTTGTGTGATCAAGAGAGTATCTCAATTAGTCTAAATTGAATTTAACTTGAGAAATCATTGTCCAAAGTGAAATAAGAGTTTAAAATTATTCTAAAGCTTATTTGTGAGTTAAAGTTAAGGACAAGACTTAACATGATTGAATAAGATTGAGTAGATACTAAATCATACTCAATGTTCAAGCTGAGATACCAAATAATGAAAGGATATTAATTATACATTAAAACCATTCATAGATAGGTTGTCAAGCCATATTGACTTACTTTAGATATTAGGGGTCATGATAATGTAACTAGCATTGATCATAATCTATAAACATAAGATTGGCTAATTAGAGAATTAATGATGAAATCAAAAGGTTTGAATCATCCGAAGCCAAATGTAAAAACTCACAATGCTTATGTTTATTGCCAACATATTAAAGAATCTAATAGGTCACATACAATAGAACAACTATGAAAGATTAAAATTGGGACAAATTAAGTTGGACTTAATTTGGTTTTTGTAAGAGCAAAAGATAGAGGAAATAAATAAGAGAGAAACACTTTCCTTGTTCAATGTATTTGGCTAACAGGGGGATTAATTTGGAATTATACAATTCATGCACTAACTTAGTGTGGCTGAATATCCCTTTATAAAAGAATATGAGCTGCGGCCCCTCTTGAAACAAACAAATCATATTAGATGCAAAGATAAGCTAAGAGCAACTCAAAGCAAAAACTTGAAAGAAAACAAGAAGCTTTTAGAAACACTTACTAGTTAACGTGTGGTTTGTGTTCTTTCCATCCTTAGAGAAAGTTCTTTTACAAGAGTTTGTGTGGATTACTATTAGAAACTGCATGTTTAAGTAGTTTTGTGGCTTGGAAACTAATTTGGGTGATCACTAGCTTGAAGCAAAACAAATTCGACAAAAAAGGTACACTCCCTTAGCTAAAACCCAAGAATATGTATGTATGATACGTTTATATGATCTTATTAAATGATTTTGATCTTGATCTTGACTTTAAAAAATTAAAAATTTTAAAATTTCATTGTTTTAACTTTGTATGATGATACATAATTCCTTTTATGATTTAGATTGTCCATCATTTTTGTGGTAATTAACAATATCATATGATCACGTCTCTATGGATAAATTCCACATAAAAGCAATTGAACCTCCTTCAATCCTCAATCCTTGAATTAATGCCATCTATGTGACCCCATTGTCTCTTTCCTTAAGTGCAAATCCAATAAATTGCTTGAGGCTATACTGAAAAAGTCATGTTTATTAATATAGCACTAATCAATATATATAGAGATATTGAAAGAAAGAAAAAAAATGGGTTATTGAAAGAAAGAAAAAAAAATGGGTTTCTGTAGACTTACACTTAGGTTCAATTAGCTAGAGAATTGCAAAGGAAAAAAAACAAAAAGAAAAAATCAACATTAAACCACCGAAAGGGTCTTGAGCTGGATTTCAATTAGGGCCACTTGAGATTGAGTTAATCCTTTAGAATTTTTTTTTTTTTTTTGACAATTCCAAAAGGCATGAAATGCTTTCTGTTTTATGCACCAAAAGGGGGCAATTCATTTTTGTTATGTTTGCTTTTGGAAAGAGAAAAGTTAGGCAACTAGCTTCACTTTTAATTATATATATATATATAGATGAATTTAACTTCATGAACTTTGAATTAAAAAAAAAAATCAATCAATCAATCATTAAATTATTTTTCAGTTTCAATTTCATAATTTCTTGTAGATTTTCAATTAATTGAATGAAATTTTTGAAAGAATATTTCAACGAGAACTTAAGTCTGCTCAATTTAATCTTTTTATAGTTCATACCCAAAATCATATGTACCAATTAAATACAACATGTTTAAGTTCATCATTATCTCTGATTTTTCTCTGATATTTGATTCATCATTCATCTTTTTAAGAACATATTCATGTTGATATGCCAGGATCTGGGTCTTTCACATCTGTAGGATCTCTTTTCCAAATTTTTTTTCCCCCAGAAAAGAAAGAGAAAAAGAAGTCCCCACTCAACATATATAAAACATCTTTTCATGCACTTTGGTCTCTTCTTATCATTTCAAAGAGTTTATTCATCAATCAAAAAAAGTATGCTTTCCTCCATTCTCTTCTTTCTGTTTAATTTCCAGAAAACTTTCCTTCATATGCATGCAAAAAAATAATAATAATAATTAACAGCTATAGCTTTTCATTATATTTTTTACCTCAAAAACCAACATAGTAAAAAAAAATTCAGAAGATTGCATCAAAGTTAGGCGAACAAGAAGAATTTTTAGAGATTTTTTTGGATCTTTTGACAGAAAACAATATCAAGACAGGTTCCATCATGTGCATATATTAGGAAGCAACAAGACAAGTTAAGGGCGGCCCATAATCAACTTTGGATGATTCAATACTTCCTTTTCTTCACAATCTCCACGACCACTAATAAAAAAGATAAACGATTCTGTGCTTTAATTCATGCTTCTTTGACTTCAACAATTGATAATTTTTTCAAAAATGCCATTAGATATGTATGCATGAACGCATAGTTCAAAATCAAAAACATGTTTTCAGTATTTTTAAAGCATGGAATATGTATTAGAGAGGGAAACATCATCGAAAGAAGATTCAGCACTGAATTAAGTTTGAAAGGCATATAATCTTTTTTCTTTATAAATTAAAGTACGTAGTTGGTGCAAAGATTATTATATTGCACTCATTGTGAGATACTTTTGTATTTGAAATTATCAAAATTTGAACTTTAATTATTATTAATAGTTAAACATTCTATCAATAGATAATATAACCATTAGCGTTGTGAAGCATTATTTAGTTTTAAGATATGATAACTTATTTTTACGATTTATCTTTTAAAAATATACATCTTTGACTTAATAATATGTGAATCGTTTCTCTTCCGCATATATAATCTTAATTTGATGATGATACCTTGAAAGATTTTTAAAAAAGTCCTGAAATTAACATGTTGTAAGCAGATCAAACCGCATTTCATTTGCATGTATTTGCCTTATTGTCAACCATCCATGTTTAGGGCAAGTAGATTCATGGCAATTGGCAAGCTCAAGGTTCAATCAGCTTTTGGACCCACAAACCCCCGCCCCCCCTAAAGGAAATGTACAAGAGGTTCTTATTCAATATACTTTGAGAACAATTAATGAGAAACTTGAATTCATATACCAGGTAAATACATGGATGAATTAATGCAATTCAAAGTGCCTATATGATGTGACAGGTCTCTTGCCTACTGAAAGTGTAACATTCTTTTCTCCTCTTCCGGCGGGGATGAATCTAGCTAGTAGTTGATTAATATAAAACAGTATACTTAAAGCAGATTCCATAAGTTCAAAAAAAATAAAAAAAATAAAAAAATAAACCCAGTTTCATTTTATTTGCAACTATATATTTCAAAGATTTCTATTTTTATGGAGCAGGCACAGCGTTTATACATTCGGTTTGATGATGGGTGTATGATGCGCCGAGTAAAAAGTTACATTTGAATTTGTCATTCCTCGTGGACTAAAAAAGAAAATTAATGACAATGTTTTGTATAAGTAATACAAATTTTAAAGAAAAACAAAACAATGTCTTACGGTCAAATTATGTCCACACTACTTTAGCATTTCTCTTAAAATAATTTTGTCCAACTTAAAAGCAAGATTTGCTGCCCAATAGATAGAGGAAGATAATTGAAATACAAACCAGTAATCCAAATTCTTTTTTTTATAAATGAATTAATTTTTATTCATAAAAATGAGTATGAGGTTGTACTACAAACAAACCTAAATATGTCTTGAATTTTTCATTTTTTGGGCAAGCAATTGTTTTTTTATATAAAAAGCGACACAAGCCTTCAAATTTTGTGCTCTAAGTAGAGACCAAATGCTTTGGGCCACTAAGCTAAAAATTAGATTTGGACCCAACCAAAAATTGTGTACAAGTTAGTCTTTCTGCTCTTCCAAAGCCTAACAATAATTCTGTCTAATAACAAATAAAGCTGTAAAAATTATATCCAAGCAAGATGAGCTAAAAGCACAAAACATGCTTTCAACAAAAAAAATTTTTTTTAAAAAAAAAAAGGGCGTTTATACTTCTTTGTTTGAATCCCTCATCAATACCCTATACCAGTTTAAAGAAGAGAAAAGGGCAAAAAAAAAAGAAAAAGCATACACAAATGCTTATATTAAATTTCTTTTGCTGAACAACAATGGCATGATACCACATGGAAGAAGATTATACTGCCTTGCTACTCATGCATATGTATAATGAAGTGACCGCTACAAATTATCGGCACCATTCTCACCAAAAATAGAATACTGAAATGAAAAAACCTAATGGAATGGCAATATATATATATATATATATATCCATTAGACACTGACACAAGTGCAGGTGAGTTGCATTCTTTTACTTGCCAGGAAATGCAAACCGTATTTGTTCTCTTTGTCGAATTAGAAACTTATCCTTTGGAGATGATGTCATCCCACCAACACCTGCCTGGCGCAACATCTCTGCAATGGATATTTTGCTTGTTATACACGTTTGAAGGGAATAACTTACCTGAATGCATATGAGCTTTAACTAAACATGGAATAAGCACAATGTCAAATTGGCGAAGAGAAAAAATATGATTAGGCCACTCTAAAAGGGAATAACTTATCTGAACACATATGCCTGGCCCTCTATCCAAATATGATTGTATCGTGGACGCTTAATTCACTCATGCCAAACACAAACTAGACCATTATGAATTCACAATTACGTTATTTAGAAAGTTGCATAGGCCCTTCTCATTACCTCACCATGTATGATGCAAAGAATTGAGAATTAATTTTTCAAGTTTCAAAATCATTAACTCACCTCTTAATAAGCTTAATGAATTTGAACTAATGTGCAGCAAAACAGAACTCACCTCTCTTCCTTTCAAGCTCTTGATCAAGCTCTTCTTTCCATCTCCTCTGTCTCTCAGAAAAGCTTGTGCTGCAATGTCATTCTCGGATTAGAAAATGGGACAGATATTTTTGCAAGTAAAGATAAGCTAAAGCAGACCTCAAAGAAGTATTAACAAACCTAGGACTGATTGTCTCCGGCTGGGCATTGAGCCCTTTCCATTCCCCAACAGAAGGTGGCTGAATTTCTTGCAGAGTCCTATCATGAACAACAGCAGTCTTTGACAAATGATTGGTATGACTCTTTGGGCTTGCTACCTTGGCAGCATCAGCAACTGCAGATAGTCTTCGGCTAGGAAGCCGCTTAGGTGACCTGTTTTTAGGAGGTAAGCTCAAAATATTTTCACCATTTGCAGTTCCAACAGGAGTTGGAAGACCACCATTCAATGTGTTGTAAAACTCTTCATACAGAGGAGATTGCAGCTTCTTCAGTTCTAAAGCCTGGCTAAATAATAGTACAGAATTAGTTTCTATCATACAAGACATCGTGGCCAACAAAAAAAATTAAAAGATGATCCGGTTTCTCATCCATTAAAGAAAGAAGATCATTGTATTTGTAAAACAAAACATACCTTTTCATCCAGGAAGGCTCTAATTTTTGACTCTGTAACTTCTTCATCATCATCACCTGCTGCTGGTCCACATGGAAAAGTGAAATCATTCTGCTCCTTACCATACATTCCAGGACTGGCAGAAGCTTCCAATGCTTCAACCAAAGACAAATTTACTCCATTTCTGCTTATCTCAGAACTTCGATCAAATTTGCATGGCCAATCTTCAGTGGGTTCGGACATGGGATTAAAGCTCTGGTGAAAATAAACAATTAAGCATTTTTATATAAGCTAATTGTAAACATCTGAACAATAATAGGTACTTCCAAGAACAGTTGATTACTTTATTCAAGTCAGCAGATGCTAAAACAGAGTTGAACTTTACTGAAGCGCCAAATTCAAGATCATTTTTGTCATCTATCTGACACATGTCATCATCACAACTGCTTGCCCTCCAATAGGATCCTGGTTCTGATAATTTCCCAGGATATACTGTAGAGCACATCAGACTACCCATTTCACAAACACCCTTTAAACCTGTGCAGGTTGGCCTGATCTCAGAATTTATGCTGTGACATCAATATAATTTCTAGCATTAAATTCAACCCAAATACAGAAAAAAAAATAAAAAATAAACATAATCCATGAGGTTGAGACACATACGAGCTCCTCAAGTTTATCCCAGATGTCATCACCAGATTTCCAGGTTCCTGATAGATTGACCAAGGAAGGTCAAAAGAATAGAAAGATCATACTAATAAAGCTAAATGCAATCAGACTTACCATAATTGAGCTACGAAACACTGCATGAGGTTCCTGATAGTTCCCAGTGACAAAAGGGTGCTGTGTTTATTTAGATAAAGACAATAAATTACAAGTGAGCAGAATTCTACTTATATAATCATATCTATGGCTAAATGCATGCATTACAACCGGTCTATGACTTCTATGAAAAATTCAGGTGAAAAATGGTCAATGATTTCAAATTACCTGCAGCAAGTCCGATGCACTAGGTCTCAATCCTGGTTCCCTGACACCAAAAATTATGAGTATAAGAGTGGATTATAACAAAATTGGAACTATTAGGAAAAAAAATTTTCTTGAACTTTATTTATCAGAAAACTCATTCATGATTCAACTATTTTATTGGCCTTTTTACAAAACCGAGAATGGATAAAGAAAACACAAAACTGTTACAACAAAAGAAACATAGATATCAAGAATGTACTTCTGTAGGCATTTTAACAAAAAGTCCTTAGCCTCAAAGGACAGATGCTCAGGAATTGGTGGATGAGATTTAGTTGTCCCAATATGGAAGAGAGCAGCAACCTGAAAGAAACACCAGTTCAGTCTTTAAACTAAGGAAAAATTACATACCAAATCCAGTCTACAATTAGATTATTCCAATAAATCATACTTGTGACGGCTTTATAGCAGCTTCCCGTACATACCTCCTGATACTGTTGACTCCATGGGGGCTTTCCAGTAGCCATTTCAATCACAGTACAGCCAACACTCCATATATCGGCAGAGCTAAGAAAGTGAAATCCAAAATTAATAAGCTCCTCATATCAGATAGCAATGACTACAAGATGGAAATTTTGGTTTATTCTAACCAAGCATATGCTGCAGACCTATATATCTTAGATTAGGAACAGGAGATTTTTTTAATGATTTATCTTAAGCTGCTTATATTGTTTAACCAATTTTGTTTTAAGAAAGAAATAACTTAGCAATACATAAAAATGATTCTAGCAGCTGATCCCACAGACCTTTTTGGTTGGTAAATCTCAAAGGAGAACTTTCTTAGAGGGAAAAACAAATGAGCCATGATTATAGAAATGTAATCATCCTAATCTAGTCTCAAGACAAATTTGAAAAAGTGTGAACATCTCTTACAAGCTATGCCCAGTTTGGAGGATGACTTCAGGAGCCATCCAATACGGAGTTCCCTTCATTGACTTGGCACCATTTATTGTAGCCTGAAGAAGCAGAAAGCTATCACTCTAAATGAAACAAAATAAAAATCTTCTTGGATAAGAATAGAATAGAAAGAAATAGTTTTCTTACCAACTCGACAACTTTCTTAGATGCACCGAAGTCTGCAAGTTTGATGCAACCCTTGTTATCCACAAGAATGTTTGCCCCCTGAATATAAAGAAGCACAACATGAAATCAGACAGAAGCGTGGAAACGCACAACAGTTTTCAATGAGAAACAATGAAGTACCTTGATGTCCCTATGCACAATTCTATTCTTGTGAAGATATTCCAGTCCTAACAAAAGTTGTTTTGTATACATCCTTACAACCTGTTTTTTAGCAAATAAACAAGTAAAATAAGATCATCAGGGGCTCAGGGAAAAGGAGAAACACCAAACATTCAAAAAATTTAAGCACAAAACAATAACTTACAGACTCAGGGAAAGATCCAAACTTTCCCAAAAGTGAGGAAATGGATCCACCCGGTACAAACTCCAATAGAATATTCAACGAATCGTCCTCCCTTGCAGTGCCCAAATATCTCTAACAAACCAAAAAAAAAAAAAAAACAGCAAATAATAATTAATGAATTACTCACATAAAAATTCAAATACAAGTACAGAAACCATACTAACAACTATGTTTGGATGTGATAGATTCTGTAGTAGCTTCACTTCTTCTTCAAGCTCTCTAATATGAGCCTATCCAAAATAAATTCAATCAAACAAACAACGTTAGTCACTGTTTTCTTAAGTTGATATTTTTAAACCCTCTTTCAGAAGAAATTAAAAAATCCTTTTCTTACCTGCGTTTTCTCCTTTGAAGCATTTGCCGCAATCAAAACCTGCATCCACAAAAATATGATAGAAAAAATTTAAAAACAAAAGCAAAACATCTGCTCTCTCAATTAACAGTAACTCACCTGTTTAACCGCTAGTAACTCGCCCGAGTCAAGATTCATCCCCATATAAACCCGACCAAACGCTCCACAACCAATCAACTCGCCCTTCCGCCACCTGATAGCCGGAGCATCCGTTTTTTTAACAGGAGGAAGAGCGGGCGGCGCCGGGGGCTTAGCGAACAAGCCGATTCGCGATCTGCGAATGCTGGCACCGATCTTCTCAACAAAGCCTCCGAGTCTTCCACCGGCATCGTCGCCAGAGGTCGAGGACCTAAAGACTAAGGATCGGCGAACCGATCCAACAAAATCCTGCATTAGAGTGGAAAAATCTTTGCTTTTCGTTAGATATGTTTGATTAAAGATGTGTACGTTTTAGGGCTTGAGAGGGAGTGAGAAATTTGAAAGGAGAGGGAAAAAGGACAAGAGGAAAGACCTTTTAAAAAATAAATAAATAAATAAAGATATGGGTTGGCAACTTGGCTGGGTTGAACTGTTGAAGATTATTTTTTTTCAAAAGTTTTTGACCGTTAAGTTTGGTGGTTGTGGGGAAAAGTGGCGACCAGTTTAACGTTTCATTAAACAAAAATATATAATAATAATAATATTTGTGGACTTCGTAGTTTGGATTTCGTGGGCTGAGCCGGCCATGTATGAATTTTCTTTTATTTATTATTATCGTTATTATTATATTATATATTTTAATTATACTTATAAGCAAAAGCAAACTTAAGTTAATTTAATTTGAATCTATTAGATGATAAATTTAATATGAATAGAAAACCCTTTAAGTTAATTTCTAGATCTTCAAATGATTTTTGATTTGGAGTTGTATAATTCAAGATATAATCAAATTAATAAGTGGAGTGCAAAATAGAAGATAATTGCCCAGCTTGACTCGATTGATCCCCTAAGGGACAAAATTGATCCCATACTTGACAAGATCATCCCCTTTTATATAGGATTGATTGGGTGCTTTGAAGAAAAGATGTAGGTGCCTTAAAGAAAAAGACCGAACCTCTATAAATCTTTGTATTTGATTTTTTCATCCCTAAATTTTTTACACTTATTATTATTTATATTTGATTCTAGGCTCATTAATTGTTATTGATAGCATCACATTTTCATTAAAGAGCATATTGTTTTTAATCTTACATTAAATTATTTTGAAATCATTATTTGAAAAGATTTTGGAAAAATACAATTCACCCCCTTTTTAGATAATTATCTCATCTAAAAAGCTAACAATTAATATCAGAGCTTTGGTCTCTTTTTGTAAGTTTAACAACCTTGAGTAAAGATCTTATGGCTTAATTTAGGTTCTAAGATGGTGAGAAAGTCCTCAAAGCTTCTATATTCGATAAATATGAATTTTATAAATAGAGAATAAGGATGAAGGTGTTCATAATGGCCCAAGATTTTAAAGCTTGGAATGTGGTTGAAAAAGGGCTTGAAACTCTTTCCAAAGATACAAACTACATGAAGCAAATAATGGATGATGCAAAGGCTAAGTGCATTCTTTATGGAATTTTTTATGCTTACTACTTCAACTTAGTCTCAAATTACTCCACTTTAAATGAAATATAGAGGAAATTGGAGCAAATATATGAAAGGCAAACCTCTAACCGAAATGCATCATGTCTTATGGCATTTGAAGAACCGAAAGTAACCTCTAATTCTATTGATTCAAATTTATATATTTTTGATAAATTGCAAGAGGCTCACAATGAGTTGTATGATGAATGTGAATCAATGATAAGGAATTATAAAAAAATGGTTTCAAAGTTGAATCTAATGAATAAATGCAAAATATATTTTAGAACAAAAATGAAAAGGTGAAAATAGATTTAAAAACCTCTCAAAATAGGTATGAAATTTTAGAAAAAAAAATTTTTGATTAAAAAAATTTAAAGTTTTGATGAATGAAAAATAAGAGCTTTTAAACAAGAGTTTAAGTACTAAAATGATTAAATATAAATTTTGTCATTTTCATGATTATACTATACATACTTGTCCTATAAAAGAGAGAAATTCTATTTAAAATTAGGCAAAGGATGAAGGTGTTCATAATGGCCCAAGATTTTAAAGCTTGGAATGTGGTTGAAAAAGGGCTTGAAACTCTTTCCAAAGATGCAAAACTAACAGAAGCAAATAATGGATGATGCAAAAGGCTAAGTGCATTCTTTATGGAATTTTTATGCTTACTACTTCAACTTAGTCTCAAATTACTCCACTTTAAAATGAAATATAGAGGAAATTGAAGCAAATATATGAAAGGCAAACCTCTAATTGAAATGCATCATGTCTTATGGCCTTTGAAGAACCGAAAGTAACCTCTAATTCTATTGATTCAAATTTATTATTTTTGATAAATTGCAAGAGGCTTACAATGAGTTGTATGATGAATGTGAATCAATGATAAGGAATTATAAAAAAATGGTTTCAAAGTTGAATCTAATGAATAAATGCAAAATATATTTTAGAACAAAAATGAAAAAGTGAAAATAGATTTAAAAACCTCTCAAAATAGGTATAAAATTTTAGAAAAAAAAAATTTTTGATTAAAGAAATTTAAAGTTTTGATGAATGAAAAATAAGAGCTTTTAAACAAGAGTTCAAGTACTAAAATGATTAAATATAAATTTTGTCATTTTCATGATTATACTATACATACTTTTTCCTATAAAAGAGAGAAATTCTATTTAAAATTAGGCAAATGATGAAGGTGTTCATAATGGCCTAAGATTTTAAAGCTTGGAATGTGGTTGAAAAAGGGTTTGAAACTCTTTCCAAAGATGCAAACTACATGAAGCAAATAATGGATGATGCAAAGGCTAAGTACATTCTTTATGGAATTTTTGATGCTTACTACTTCAACTTAGTCTCAAATTACTCCACTTTAAATGAAATATAGAGGAAATTGGAGCAAATATATGAAAGGCAAACCTCTAACCGAAATGCATCATGTTTTATGGCCTTTGAAGAACCGAAAGTAACCTCTAATTCTATTGATTCAAATTTATATATTTTTGATAAATTGCAAAAGGCTTACAATGAGTTGTATGATGAATGTGAATCAATGATAAGGAATTATAAAAAAATGGTTTCAAAGTTGAATCTAATGAATAAATGCAAAATATATTTTAGAACAAAAATGAAAAGGTGAAAATAGATTTAAAAACCTCTCAAAATAGGTATGAAATTTTAGAAAAAAAAAATTTTTTTGATTAAAAAAATTTAAAGTTTTGATGAATGAAAAATAAGAGCTTTTAAACAAGAGTTTAAGTACTAAAATGATTAAATATAATTTTTGTCATTTTCATGATTATACTATACATACTTGTTCCTATAAAAGAGAGAAATTCTATTTAAAATTAGGCAAAGGATGAAGGTGTTCATAATGGCCCAAGATTTTAAAGCTTGGAATGTGGTTGAAAAAGGGCTAGAAACTCTTTCCAAAGATGCAAACTACATGAAGCAAATAATGGATGATGCAAAGGCTAAGTGCATTCATTATGGAATTTTTTATGCTTACTACTTCAACATAGTCTCAAATTACTCCACTTTAAATGAAATATAGAGGAAATTGAAGCAAATATATGAAAGGCAAACCTCTAACCGAAATGCATCATGTCTTATGGCCTTTGAAGAACCGAAAGTAACCTCTAATTCTATTGATTCAAATTTATATATTTTTGATAAATTGCAAGAGGCTTACAATGAGTTGTATGATGAATGTGAATCAATGATAAGGAATTATAAAAAAAAATGGTTTCAAAGTTGAATCTAATGAATAAATGCAAAAAATATTTTAGAACAAAAATGAAAAGGTGAAAATAGATTTAAAAACCTCTCAAAATAGGTATGAAATTTTAGAAAAAAAAATTTTTGATTAAAAAAATTTAAAGTTTTGATGAATGAAAAATAAGAGCTTTTAAACAAGAGTTTAAGTACTAAAATGATTAAATATAATTTTTGTCATTTTCATGATTATACTATACATACTTGACCTATAAAAGAGAGAAATTCTATTTAAAATTAGGTAAGTATGGGTTTCAAAAAGAACTAGAGACTTTGACACTAGCTCTTAAGGACCTAAAGCAATTTGGGTACCAAAAATCAAATGAGCATATCTCTTGTTGTGTGCTAGAGTAAGGAGCTACAATATGCTTTTGAAGATTAGATACTCTAGACATACAATTAAAATGGGTAACCTTTAAGTCTAATATTTATTTAAAGAGTATTTGAAATCGGTTACTTATTCTTGGTTGAATGTTGAAGTGCTTAATTATTATATGCTTTATGATATATCTTGATTGATTTAAATTGTTTTAAAGAAAATATATGCCCACATATGCTATTTTAATATTGCAAATTTGATTGAAAATGATTATATGTTATAATTTGCATGATTTTAAAAAATATGATCTTGATTGTATATGTATTTATTTTTGCTCTTGAATGTATGATTTTAATAATTCCTCATGCTTGTTATTGTGTTTAATACTTATTTGCTTGAGATACATTTTTAGGAGAATTATGTATGCTCTAATGGATTTGTGGGGATTACATGTGAATGCTCTTAATATTGGGATTGTATGAATGATCTTGATATTTTGATATTGTTTGTGAAATTGACATTATTGGGAACTTATGCTTATACATGATTATGTATATGAATATTGGATATTGATGATGTCATACTTTATGAAATTATTATTAGTGTTTGATGTGATTAATTGTGTATTAAATTATTTTTATATTTATGCACAAATTTAGGAGGAGAACTCAAAACTTAATGATTTTAAAATTTTAAGTTTTGCTTTGAAAATAATTTTTGCTAAAAGTCAAGCTTGAAAATATGAAATTTTATTTTAGCAAGTTTTTAAATGTAAAAAGAATTTGAATATATTGTGTTCAATAATTTAAACTTGCTCAAATGAAGAAACTTGATTAACTTGCAATGATTTTTATTTTTTAAAGTTTTAAAAGATTTTAGAGCTTAAAAGATCAAATCTTATTTTTGAACATACATGGGCATAAAAACCATTTGGATAATTTCAAATTGTAATATAAAACTTTTCTAAATAGTTTAAAGAGCTTAAAATATATTTTTAACATTTTTACCCATCTTAGTAGCCTTTTTCAAGAAAATATAAGGTTTAAGAATTGACTTTTTGATTTCCTTGCTTTTAAGGCCAAATCACCACTTGAACAATTTTGTTAATCAAAACTTGTTGAAATGGTTAAAAATAATTAAAAATGGGCTTGACTAGTTTTGATATTTATTAAGGTATTTTTCAAGCAAAAATGAGTTTTAAAGTACAAAAATCAAAATCCTAAACATAGTAAGCTTTGAATGGATTATCCTATTTTTTTAAAAAAAGCTTAGATTGATTAATTCACTTTGATTAATATTCATGCCTAGTTTTTGATTGCCTTGATGTGATTAATATTTTTTTTACATGAATATTTGTTTAAGATGAATATTTGAACAGGGCTATAAATTGGCTATGTTGATTTTCTTGATCTTGAAATTGATTTAACTCATAG